TATCAATCATCATAATATTCATTGAAATTGATTCTCTCAAATTTCAAAATATTGGGAAAAATTTCTTCATTTGAGGCTGAAAAAATCATAACAAATGACGTCGTTTGGTTTAATTTTTAAAAAAACAAAATCATGTGAACCGGTTGAACCGCCGGGTTTTCCCGGTTCCCAACCGGTTCTACCAGTTCTTTAGCGGTTCATTGCAAAACTAGTTTTGGAGACTGACCGGACCGGACAGACAACCGATTCCCGGTTCAACCGATCGAACCAGCTGATCCGATTCGATTTTAATAACATTGGAAAAAAGTAATCGAATTAAAAGCCCCAACCAATACACGAGAAAACTTAATTAACTATGGAATATTCCACCATCATGTCTTATATACTTTGATCACCCAACTATTCTTGTTTTTTTGCTTTTGTCACCTTATTTTTTTTTTCAAAATCGCACATAATGTCACATTTCGTTTATGTTTTGATCATCTACTGTTAGATTTGATTGTTGATTTGACAAAAATAGTGATGTGACATGGTATAATAATAGTTTTAGTCATCAAAATTTACCTATTCAATTTTCTTTAAAATCAAACCATTATTTTAAAAAAGTTAATAACAAAACAATCAATGTTCGACTGGTCAGTTTTCGAGTTAATCAAAATTTATTATAAGTATTTAGTTTAGACTAATTTGGGTTTAATATAAGTGTTTTATCATTTGAGTTAGAATTTGGTTGAGTCTTGAAAATTTAATGGGTCCAATGTGATTAAAAAATAATTGAATCTTGATTCTTAACTATTTATAACTTAAAATATAAATGTAATGTATATAATATATTTTTTATTTTTTATGTTAATTAGTCAATTTTAAAATGAATAACAGATAAATTCAATTTTAAAAATTTTAATCATTAATTGATCTTAATATTTAATTACTCGATTGATTAATCAAACTAAATTTTAATTTCAATCAATTAATTTGATTAAAATCGAACCATTAATATTCATACTGTTAAAATCTATTATGTGAACAATTATTCTATCTAATTTACGGCATTCACAATGTTAAAATCCAAATTTAAACTTAGTTGAAAAATCTATTGCCTAATAATTAACTCATTATTTCATGAACACTTATGAAAATGATCCAAAATAATTACAAAAGTAGATACGTGGCCAATAGGTGAGGATGATACTTGGCCAAGCAATTATATCATATATATTGAGGAGATGTGCATCATCGTAAACCGACCAATTCATTTATGAAGTTAAATATTAGTTGAATAAAATTTGATAATTAATATTTTTCTTAAATAATCCATTAAAGTTTAAATTAAACGGTGCATTATAGCTTTCGGATTTGACATGCGTATGTTATATAACAAATATTGGTCCTCTAATACTTCTTATCACTTTTAATTTGCCTAAAGCCCTCTTCCTCATTCATCATCACTCCTGTTCAATGCTATCCACAAATCTAAGTAGGTAAGAAAATAATTGGACTACCCCATTAATAAATTTTATTAAAATTTATTTTTTACATTTTTTATTGGTGAAAAATAATAAATTAAAACCATAAGTTGGTAGTTTTGGGGTTTATCCGAATGCCAACACGTTAGATGATTAATATATCCTTAAATTCAAGAATTATATTTAATGCAATTTGTTTAAGTTTATATGTACTATTGTTCATAAAGTATTCTCTCTTATAACTTATAAATTATATTGAAATACAAAACACATTATTGTTTTTTAAAACGTAATAGTGGTGTCTGTTCAAAATTTTCTTTAGACGTCACTGATAACACACATACATCCATAAATATAGTTGTTTGAATTTAAAATCTTTAGAATAAATAATACTCTCTTTAACCATTGAGATCACTTAATGTATTTATTTTTAAACTTTATTAATGAGACGTCTTCGTGAGAACGCTATCGTTTTATAGTTTGTATGTTGGAAGTATCAAATATAAAATCTTTGAACTCGACGAGAGGTTAATTTATGTCTAATTTTTAAGTCAATCTATTTATTATATGGGCACTAAACAAATTTTTTATTTTAATTTGTCAGATTTCCGTTTAATAAAGTTAAAAATTAATGCAATTATTGATTAAATAATAATAATAATGCAATTATTGACAAATATATTATTTAAATCTATCCAAGTGGACTTTTCAAGAGCCTCAAACTTATATCAAAGAAAAATAGTATAGAGTAAAACAAATTTTTTTTAATATAAGTATTTAATATAAAATAAATGTGATGTTACTAAGGAGAAATGATGTTTATGTCAAGGGTAAACTATGTGAATAGTCCCTTTTATTTAGGGTATGTATGATTTTGATCATCAATTTAAAAATTAAGGATAAATGATCTCTAACATTATCGGTCCGTCTGATTTAAGCCCTTCCGCTGTTAACCCTTAACGAATATGTGAGGGACTAAAATTGAACAGGAGTAAACTGCTAAGGGACTAAAATCGAATGAATCAATGATGTTAGTTACTAAAATCAATCGGATCAATAACGTTATAGAATGTGTGCCTTAATTTTTAAATTGATGACCGAAATCGGTCAGACCCAAAATAAGGGAACTATTTGCATAGTTTACCCTTATTTAAATCCTTCGTAATATTAAAAAATACTTGTTTAATCCCAATCAAAATTTTCAAACCTAATTGTTTTATTTAAATTACCGAATAAAAATAAAAGTTGACCAAAGCGATTAGATTATCAGAAACTGAATCCAACCTTAAAACCGTCCATGTTCAACTATTACTGGCCTACGTATGCAACTAGATCAAACCTCAGAAGGGAATCAAAGTAGAGGCAACGACATCACATCTTGCTGTTCGATTTCTTAAATAAACTAAACAACGTGGACGGCAGCTCCGTTCATATCATAAAACCTGAATTTGTTTGTAACTTTGGAATTCGCAAAACAAGATTAATAATTCCCATGACTAGGGGAGTTCTTAACCGTTCCATATAACTGGACACAAAATTTTATATTATAAATATATATTTAATTTTAGAATGAGAAAAATTTATAAAATTATAAATGATAAAAACATATTATCAATAGAAAATAAAAAAAAATATTTTAAATATATACTAATTTAAAATTTTTAGAACTGATTGTTCTATCTACTCCCACTTCTGGTCCATCCTTACTTATAACGACTTTATTATTAAGAGAAAAAATTAACGTTGTTAATAATATTCATATTTTAATCTTAATGTTTAATTTTTGATATTGTAAATAAAATAAATTAAATGGATAAAATCTTTTTAAAATAATTTTTCATAATATTTAATTTGAATTAATTAATTAATGGTTTAAATACATAAGATTATATTAAAATAAAAAAATGGCAAGAAGATGGAAAGATAATGTTGGATTCATCGAACCTGGATGAGATTTCGGTTCTTTCAAGGTGATCATCTTTCTTCTTACAGAAATGGGTCTATTTGCTCATTATTTATGAAAATATTAAAAATATCTCATAGAACCAATGGCTGTTAATCTTATTGGTTAAGTAGAAGGAACTTGGTTCCCTAGTTATCGGGTTTGAGTCGTGCAGAACTCTCCTGTTTAGGTGTTTGACATGACTCGACTCTGAATTTACTTACTGTCAATTTGTTCACCGAATATCTGATATTTAGTATAAAAAAACAAATATTACAGTGAACCATGGAAAGTTGGGAACCGTCAACTCTGGGAACCAAAAGGTGAGCCTTTGAATTTTTTTTTCAGCACCTTTTTCTTCTTCCTTTTTGTTATTTATTGTTCCTTATTGGAAAATGATTGTGAGGATTATTTTTGAAGTAAAGCTTCTTTAAGAAGGTCACTGGTGAAGGATAGTGACTTCCACTATCAATGGCATCAATGTGAAGTATATGAAACATGTAGGTGGAATAGCTTGATGGTTTAGCCATTATTCTCCCTCCTTAAAATGACATGCAATAACGATAACATATATATTCTTTATGAACCATATATCAACTCTTTCTTCTTTATGGAATAAAAATAACAGAGTGTTAAGTTTTACCGAACATGATGCTGCTGGTGAAATCAAGTTTTTAAGCATATGAATTGGAAATTTGGAATTGCCTGTTGATTTCATGCATTGCATCAGTTGACTGTTCAAATGATTAATCATGAAATGCATTCTTTAATCTAGTCAAATTTACGTTTTTGATCTTTCGAAGGGTCATCGTTGAATTGTTTGAATATTTTTTTAACTATTTTATTTGCTCTCTTTTAAATAAATCCTTTTTCTTGGTATAACATATATTTTCCAGAAACCCATTTTCTGGAAGGAAAAAATTCCATCTTTATTAAGCAAACAATTGGAAAAAGAAAACAAAAGACTATCATGGCTGGTTGTGACTGACAAAAACTCCAATATTCCCCTACTTCTACATCAATATTACGTGCATTCCGCGTACAATGTTTTTTTTATTGCTTGTAGTTTTCCTGGGAAAACTTCTCATGATGGTTATAAGAAGAAAATATACACAAGTTAGGCCCAGAAAGATATGGCTAAAGTATTTGTCACCTGCGCAAAAAAATAATTTTTTTAATAGTCTGAGTGATTATAAGGTAATATCTATTGATAATATTTCTTAATCATTGACAATGCACACATATTCTATAGATACAACTGTTCGAATTCAAGATCTCTAACGATAACAAAATTTCCCAAAACCACTTAAGCAACTTCGTGTGTTGCATAATATAGTCAACATTTCCCTTTAAGAGCATATTTTACACAATTATGGAGGATAGATGATCAGTTGCTTACGTCATGTAGTTGCGTTGAATACTTCGTTGAGTAATATTAAAATTTGCTACCAGTTGGTCATCTGTATATGTGAAATGTAAGAGATCCAGATTCATAAATTATTATTGCTTATCAATTATATATTTTATATCTTGTAAATATTTGACTTTCTCTACTGATTTAAGCAATATCTTCCCTAGCTTATTTTCCAACTTAAAAAGAACTCGTTAAGTTCTCTAAATCCCATCTGCCAACCACCTCCATATCCACCATCTTTGGTTAGCTTCTAATTATTTCTTAGCTCAATAGATTTTCATCAACTTTTGAGCATGAAGCGATGTTCCCGTGTTACAGTATATGTTTTAGAGAAACATTGGCATGCACTAACTAAGAAGCATTACTACCATTTGATTAGTGCACTAATCTTTATGATAGTAATTAATTGTATAAGAGTCCTACTCCTACATGGTAAAAGAGTTTAAGTTTGTTCGTGTCCTTAGTCTTCCTGTCAGTTTAAAATTCTCTTAGTTATGAGATACTCAGATAAGTTTTTAGGGTTTCACTGGATATTGATTCAAATCTTGTTTTTGTATCTCTTTATGATTATTAGTGATTTTTTTGGTTCTCCTCCACCCGTGGACTGTACACATGATACGTTGAACCACGTAAACTTTATACCTTCTCAGTTTATGTTAATCTCCAAAATAAATATTTGTTAATCATGGGTGGCTCGCTTTTCCTGTGCTTCAGATAAGTGATATGGCTTCGAATCCTCATTCAAATAATGAGCAAGCCGAAACCAAGGAGATGGACATTAGAAGCCTGTCGTCATCTCGGCGTCAGGTGCACAGTGAATCCTATCTTCACAAGGTGGCGGTTCCGCCTAAGCAAAACCTGTTCCGGGAATTCACAGCCACCGTGAAAGAAACATTGTTTGCTGATGACCCTCTGCGTCCCTTCAAGCATCAACCCAGGTCTCGAAAGTTCATACTGGGAATCCAGGCCATCTTTCCCATTTTTGAATGGGGAAGGAGTTACACCTGGAGAAAATTTCGTGGTGATATCATTGCTGGACTCACTATTGCCAGTCTCTGCATTCCTCAGGTTGTAGATATACTCCAAAAACATATACATAAACACTTATTTTCCTTATTTAGCTATTCAATTAAATTACTTGAAAAACAGGATATTGGTTATGCAAAGCTAGCAAACTTGGATCCGGAGTATGGACTTTGTAAGTTTCCATGTTATTTATCTACATTGCTAATAGAGCTTTGTTTTGGATTTTTCTTGAAGGAATTTTTACGAGTAATATTCTTCTTGATCCATGACAGACTCCAGCTTTGTTCCTCCATTGATTTATGCCTTTATGGGAAGTTCAAGAGATATCGCCATTGGACCAGTCGCAGTGGTATCTCTTTTATTAGGGACTATGCTTTCAAATGAGATCGACCCTAAGAAAAACAAAGCCGAGTATCTGCGGCTTGCATTTACTGCTACCTTTTTTGCAGGCATCATTCAAGCAACTCTCGGTGTTCTTAGGTAACTACTTTTATGTGTTTCACTCATGAACAGCTGTTATATACTGTATATCCACCCATAATATATATACAATTTCTGATAACCTTGTGTTACGTTACTGAATTTATTAGGTTGGGCTTCTTGATTGATTTCCTGTCCCATGCTGCCATCGTCGGTTTTATGGCCGGAGCTGCCGTCACAATTGCCCTTCAACAGCTTAAGGGACTTCTCGGTATAAAAGATTTCACAAAGAATCCAGATATTGTTTCTGTAATGCAATCTGTATGGGGCAACATCGATCAAGTAAGCACTTCTATGTGTAGCTTCTTTTTCCAACAAAAATTTGTTTTCATTCCACGGTTACTACATTTATATGGTACTATACATTTTGCAGTGGAACTGGCAGACAATAGTCATTGGAGTTTGCTTTTTATCCTTCCTTTTGTTCGCGAAATACATTGTAAGAAATCCTAAGTATATCCATCAGTCTTATTTCTAGGCTTGTATCCATTTGCCAACTTTCACGTGCTTTGGTTTGTGAAATAGGGAAAAAAGAACAAGAAATTCTTCTGGGTGCCTGCAATAGCTCCTTTGATATCTGTTATTATCGCCACCTTTTTCGTTTTCATAACACGTGCAGATAAGCAAGGAGTTGCCATTGTAAGCATCCCCCCCCCCCCAATTGTACAATACTGCAATCTAATAGTTCAAGTGATGGCAAAAATTGTAATGGCTACTGACAGAAAAACCACTGTTTCTTCCATCTTTGCAGGTGAAGCACATTAAGCAAGGAATCAATCCCTCATCTGTGAATCAAATTTACTTCAGTGGTGAATATCTTACGAAAGGTATAAAGATCGGTGTCGTGGCTGGTATGGTAGCATTGACGGTAAGCCATTTTTGTTTATCCATCTCCATTAAACCTAGAAGAAACCAATTATGACATTGCATCTAAATCGATTGACCCTTTGACGTCCATTTTTTTGGGGGGTCGATGTAATAGGAAGCTGCTGCCATTGGAAGAACTTTTGCTTCAATGAAAGAGTATCAAATAGATGGAAACAAAGAAATGATGGCAATAGGAGCTATGAATATAGTAGGTTCAATGACTTCCTGCTATGTTGCCACGGGTGAGAACGGAGAGAACACATGTTTTGTCATATAATCATATAGGTATATCTATAACTGATGTTACTATACCTTCGTTACTTGCTGCAGGTTCATTTTCTCGATCTGCAGTGAATTTCATGGCAGGATGCGAAACTGCAGTCTCTAATATCGTTATGTCCTGTGTTGTATTTTTAACCCTGGAATTCATAACACCTCTTTTCAAGTACACCCCAAATACCATCCTCGCTGCCATCATTATAAATGCCGTGATCGGGCTTTTCGATGTTCCGGCAGCAATTTTGATATGGAAGATTGATAAATTTGATTTTGTTGCATGCCTGGGAGCCTTTCTTGGAGTCGTCTTTCGATCGGTTGAGATTGGCCTCCTAATTGCTGTAAGAACTTCGATGTTCACCACCTAAACTTCCTAAGATCAATTATATTATTATATATACTCTGCTTTATATGTTTGATATAAATCTGTTGTCACCACGGCAGGTCATAATATCCTTTGCTAAAATCCTCTTACAAGTTACTAGGCCTCGAACTGCTCTTCTTGGTAAGATCCCTAGGAGTACTGTGTACCGAAATATCCAACAATATCCTGAAGCAACTAGAGTTCCTGGTGTTTTGATCGTTAGAGTTGATTCTTCTATTTACTTTTCCAACGCTAATTATGTCAGGGAGAGGTATACCATTCATCCCACCCAATTTCTCTCATGGATAGGTTTCATTCTTCCTAGTTAAGTTTCGAATTAGATTTTGAGATGCTCTTTAGTTAATTCGTCGACATCTTTGCAGGATATTGAGATGGTTAATGGATGAAGAAGAGCAAGTAAAAGCTGCATGTCAACCAGCAATCCAGTTTTTGATAATTGAGATGTCACGTAAGAATCCATTAATTATTTCTTCTCTAGCGTATTGTACCTTATGTCTTTATTAGTTATTTTGCAGTTTTAAGCTCACTTTCCTTTTCTTTCTTTCTAATTTCTTGTACATTAGCTGTAACTGACATTGATACCAGTGGCATCCATGCCATGGAAGAACTACACAAGAGTCTTCAGAAAAAGAATATTCGGGTAATTAAACAAATGATGGCTCAATACATATATACATATAAGCTTACTTAAGAATAACAAAGTCTAGGTTTTAATAAGTAGTTACCTGAGTTTGGCTGCATTTGTTGAACAGCTGGTTCTGGCAAATCCTGCCCCGGTGGTGATCGAAAAGCTTCACTCATCGAAATTCACCGATATAATCGGCGACGACAATATCTTTCTAACTGTTGCTGATGCCGTGTCATCGTGTTCTCCGAAATGGGTGGAAGAAGAAGTATGAAGAATGAAAAGGAAATGGTGGTTAATGCATGATAGCAAAGTGTGCATGTAGAAGGGAGGGATAGATGGTGCAATTGAATAATGAGGGTGTCAATTCAGTTGAATCAGAAGCGCAGAAAAGAGTGTATAATACAATAATATGTTTGAATATGTTTATAAATTTGCTAAAAGAAATGTAATAGAATCCAAAGCTGTATCTGATTAATTTCAAGAGTTTGTTAACCTGCGGAATCGGTTATATAAACCCAAGTGTTTGATTCTCTAAGAGGTAGGGATAAGCAATTATGTACGTTAATAATTGTGGGAAATGGAATGAACATAGACACAACCTGCAGCCAGATTCATTAAGAAGTGCACCCACGTTCATATGTTATAAAGATAGATTAGAGACGTAAGATTCCATAATTCTTTCTTTATATAAAATCCGGTGGGCACATTTTGAGGATAAGGTTATGGCAATAGTGGTCCCCAGTTTTCCAATTTTTAAAAGCCGCCTCAGTTGAGACTCTTGAAAATTGGTTTATTTAATCCACTATCAACATTCAAAAGCATGAGGAAATTGCTATATATATATATATATTCAAAGTATTGATCAATTAATTTAAGTTATGTATTATTATTATTATTATTATTTAGTTCGTCTTTTCTTAAAGTAATAAATAAACAAAAGAGTAGAGAGTACTAGGTCAAATTACCTAGCACAATCAAGTTTCGGTTTAAACTGTGTTTATGTTTAATGATAAAAAAAGATTTAAAATTTTATATTAAAAGAAGACTTAATATGAAAATAAGTGGTCAAATTATATATCAAAAAATATTTTAGTACTTAAATAATTTTTTATTAAAAAAAAAGATGTTTAACATTTATTTGTTATCATTTTAGGTATTTAGAAAATCTCAGTTAAATGATATATCAAGTTCTAGTAATTTTAAAAAAAATTCTTTAAATTTTTTTTAAATAAAATCTTAAAATTTTCAAATCTTAAAAAAAAACCCTTAACCCCCTCTAGCACGTCGCCTCTTCCTCGCCGTTCAGTCCACTTTCCGCCATCGGTGGAGTGCTTCGCCACCACCAAGAGCACCGTCGTTACCTCGCGACTCAACCCGACTGACGAACCACCCAAATCGATCACTGTTTGCCTGAATTATGAAAGAAACCGTTCGGTTTTCCCCCGTCACCAATCCCGAACACCATTCGTCGATGAGCGTCGCCGCCACCACCAGAAGGAGCGTCACCCCCGTCCGATCAAAACCCCTTTGGCCTCTCATCGTAAGCTACCGTCGAACGCTGTGGAGAGCTCCTTGAAGCTTCGTCGGAAAAATCAAGGTTATGCCGTTATTTTTTATATTTTCAGCCGCCTCCGTCATCCAAACGCCTCACGCCTGCCACCATTGGAATCCTTGACGTCGCGCAAGCAAAATCCATTCGACTGTGCTACCTCGGCGATGTCCTTGCTCCGTTTGCCGTTTTGGAATGGTTGCAAGGGAGGAAGAGATTGCACGGAGAAGATTTTTTAAATAATATATTTTGTAATTTTTAAATAAATTTTTAAAAATTACGTCACATGTCGATTAATAGAGTTTTTTTAACGGTAATTAATACTCGAACAGCTAAAATAATAACGAAGATACATTAGGTATTTATTTTTAACAAAAAAAAATATTTATACATTAAAACATTTTCTAATAAATAGTTTGATCACTCATTTTTTTAATTAAACCTAAAAGAATGAATTTATAAATAATAATCCTATGATTTTATTTTTTGGATATAAGTGACCCAATGTTGCATGTAAAGCTCTCCAGGATTTGGACATGAACAAAACCCAGTTGAGCCCACCTTAGATGCCCATGGACAATTCCAAACTCCATAGATCGAAGAGAACTGCATCCTCAACTTCAGCTTCCCATGATATGATAATACGATCGTCGGCAGTCAATATCAGACACAAAACCAATGGCTCTACTCCCATCTCTCCATACTATTGTCACTCGTTTTTATAGGCCAACAAAACCGCCTCCACAACTAATCCTTTCCTCTCTTTTGTTCCCCAAAAAACTTTCTTCTCTCTCCCCTGGAACCCAACCACTTAAACCCCTTGCCTCTACTCGCCAAGGTTATTCGTCTTCTCTGATTCCCTCCCTCAAAATTATTTTTTCCTCATTTTCACTTCTATATTTAATTGCCCATTTCACCTTTTTCCCCCTTTGCAGAGACTACTTTCGTTTCCAAAAACGATGAGCGCTTGGTGGGTTTGGGTTCAGTGAACAAGGACGATTCAATTCAGGCACAGAGCTCGACCAGCACCATTGCAGCCATTGTCACTTCTTTAGGTGGCCCTCCTGCTGCCGTTGGCATTGTTCGTTTGTCTGGTCCCACCGCTGTCGATATCGCTGGCCGTGTCTTTTTTCCGGCCAAAAAGAAGAAGAATAAGAGGAGACTGGATTCAGGTTCGGAGTTTGGAGGCCTGCAAGTCATGTTGTTGAGTATGGCGTTGTTTTGGATTCTCAGGGAAATGTTGTTGATGAGGTATAACTTTTTGTTGGTTGTTTGTGTTTTTCGTTATTGGAATTGGGATTGTAAAGTTTTTTTTTTTGTTTTTATGTTTCAGGTTTTAGCTGTGCCGATGCTGGCTCCAAAATCATATACTCGTGAAGATGTGGTTGAGCTCCAGTGCCATGGGAGTGAAGTGTGTCTGCGTCGAGTGTTGATGGTTTGTTTAGAAGCTGGAGCTAGGCTTGCCGAACCAGGTTGAGTTTAGCTTATGTAAATTTTTTTGTGGCTCTTCAACTCTTAGATAAAAGTTAAATTAATTGACTCACTTAGACACCCATTTTTGTTCTGTTCAATAAAAATATTTTATTATATATGTATTTATTTATTATTATTATTTTTAATATATTTGTATTTTATTATTTTTACAGGTCTCGCATTCAACAACCTCGATTTAGTGAGATTCAAAAAATAAATCAACATATTTGAGTCCTATTGAAACACTAAAACTAATGTATTTAAGTCATATTGAAACACTAAAACTAAAGCATTTTGAGTCCAAGTATAACTCTAAATCTGAGCTAAAAATAAGTTTCTTTAGACTATAAATATACTCGTGCATCAAGAGGAAAGAGAGAGAAAAACGTGAAATCAAAATCAGAGAAAATGACAACGATTTAAAAAAACCGAGGGAAGAAAATGACAAAAAATAAACGTGGAGGATCAAAACCCAGTATCTAAAAGCACAAGGAGTGATAGAGCATTTTCATTGCAAATTCAGTTTTTCTACACGCAAACATGAGAGATGTAACAACTTTTGACTTATTCTTTTTATTTTATTTTTTATTTATTTACTTTATATATATATTTCATTTTCTCCTAATTTTAATATTTTTTATTTCTTTTTACATTGTTATATATATATATATATATTTATTAATATTTTTTATTATTTTTTCTCATGTTTATTTTTATTTTTACAATCTAACACTTTCGACTTTTTAGGGATACTTTCAATCGATCAAAGATAATTAATTCGAATTGAATTTTTAAATTTTGATTTTCGCGATTAAGACAACCTATGAATTAATTGGTACCGAAAGGGCAGTTCAAGGGTGCTAATCCTTCCTTGACCGTAACCGACTCCCGAACCCACCTACCTAAATTCGTTTAAATGGTCGGTGGCAACTCCAATTCATTTAATCTAAGTCGAAGCCCAATTCGGGGCCCAACCGAAAGACGGTCGCGACAGCTTGGCGACTACGCTGGGGACAGGTAAGTGAGTCAGGCCGAAATTAATTATCGGTTGTTTTTTTTAACGAAAATTACAAGTTTAAATTTTAATTTATTTATTCAATTCTTATTATTTATCTTTGATTAGTTTTTTCAAATAAATAGTTGTACTAACGTTTTTTGATGATTTCAGATTTTTCAAATTTGTCATCTCTAGCTCTATACCCGAGCTCCGAGCCATTTTAAGTGGGGGCAAAAGTGACGCCTTAGTGGGAATTTATTCTCCGTATAGGCCTAGCAAGTAACCTTCGGGATTCATATACCTTATGTCTTCGCGTGAATTTATTCTCCGTATGGGCATAAGGGAATGTATCCTCTCGAGTTTAACTTAGTCCACATAAGCTTGTGATGGGCTTAGGACTAAGGGTCTGACAAGCCCAAGGGGCACCAGCAAGGAGAACTCGAGTACCTTTTTTAGAACCTAAACCGGGAGAGTACAGGGAATTAGAGCACACCCCAAAACCTCATTCCAAACCCTAGGCCGCTTTGTTTCATGCCTTACTTTCTGTTCAAAACATGCGAACTAGACAAATATGAGGTTAGGATTTGTTTGAAATTGGCATGCGGGATAGAGATCATGTCCGGGTAGGAATTAAAGCATGTGGGGTAAACATCATGTGGGGTAGGACTTTTATTTTTCATGATTATTTTTTATTATTTTCACCTCACTAACTCTTTTCATTTTTATTTTATTTTATTTTATTTTCATCACTTGCATCATTTAAAAGAGGTATTGATTAACAAAAAATGTGTTTGTTAAACATGAATAATATGCATTAATGGACAAATGGGTTGTAATACAAGAGATGAAAATACAGAGGACAGTCTACAAGGCGACTATGTGTCGCATTCAATCCAGAAGACGTGGTGCACACAATTGAAGAGAGTATCACTATGCTGCATTATAAAAGACTCAGAATGAACCAGATCTACATCAAGCACAATAAAAGTCTATCTTTGAAGAACTGACTGGCAGAGGTTGCAGGGGCAATATGAAGGGAGTCCCTTCAAAGATAACAATGGAAAAACGATAGCTGAAATTGGAGACCCTTGCTGACGAATTCAAGAAACAGACAAATGACCTTCACATACTCCCTATCAATTGAGGGCTCCAATGATGTATTTGTTGGGAACAGGTTCAACAAAAGATAAATGTCAGAGATGTAGTCATTCGAGACTTCTTGGGCCAATACAAAAAGCAACTCAACATTTGCACGGTTCATCCAGAGAAGCCATAGCAGTTCGACAGATTATTCAACCGGTGACAGACAAAGGCAGAAGACTAGTCAACATGT